GTTCAAAAATACTTGCTTCTAAAAGCAAATTGAAGGTTGTTGGAAAAGGCGTTAAGTTTGATTTTGCGAAAAGATTGAGGGACTTGCCCTCAAGCCCTGATTCTGAAGCTAATGTGCATGTCCACCCCAGATAATGATGATTTTGAGTCTCCTGCTCCTCCTAAAAACTCGCAACAAGAGAGTAGTCGAATGACTCATTCGCAAACGAGGAATACTCCCACTCCAGTTAAATCATCGAGGGACTTGCCCTCAACCCCTGCTTTTGAAGCGAATATGCATGTCCAGGCTCCGGAGGATGATGATGATTTTGAGTCTCCTGTTCCTACAAAAAAGTTGCAACAAGAGAGCAGTCGAATGACTCGTTCGCAAACGAGTAATACTCTTACTCCGGTTAACATCGTTAGAATAAGGAGTAAGAAACGTAGGAGGCCTGAAAAATCAAAAGAAAAGTTGAAAGTTGATTTGGTTAATGAAGATGATGTAGGCCCCAGTGTTAAACCGAAAATAAGAAAGATCAAGGACGATGGTGAGAGTGGTCTTGATTGCATATCGAAAGAACAAAGGTTTTCTATTCGCTGCAAATTGAATAAGAGAAAAGCTAAGCTGAAGGTATTCCCTGTGTTGCTATTAATTTTATACATGCTTATATAATTTCATACAAAGTTATACAGCTGTTTATACATCTTTATACAAGTACTGCTACACTGATTTATACATGTTTATACAATGTTTTAGTATAGTTTTTGTTCCTGATCTATTTCTTGTTATTTTTACATATGCAAGGTTGGGGACTTCTATATACAACCAGTTGATCATTTCCACAACAGGATTAGTTCTCATGCCGAGACTGCTATTATGAGCATTTTAAAGCAATGTTTGACTGACACGCAGCTTCAAATGTTCCGTGCTAGTTGTTTTGGGTACTTCTTGGACCTCCCTCAATTTAAAATTCAAAATCAACTTATTCATTGTATACTATTGAGGTAAGTCGTCCCAGGACGGGAAAGGGAGTTGTGGGTGAAAATTAATGGTTGTTTGCTGCGTTTTGGCATTGGAGAGTTTGTTGTTGTCACTGGTTTGAAGTGTGTATAAGAAGATGCCACGTTCTATGACAAATCAGATGTCAATAGGTTGCTAAAAGAGTATTTTTCAGGAGATGGAAAAAAAGGCTATAACGAGGGAGCAACTTCTTGATCGCTTCAAGAAAAAGGACTGGAAGTCGGACGAAGATGCGTTCAAGATGGCCTTTATGGTGTTTGTCCATCATTTCATATTCTCATATGCCAATAATCATGGTATCAACAAAGATGATTTTGATATCATTGAAAGTGGTCAATATCAAACGTATGCTTGGGAAAAAAGTCATTTAAAGATATTTTAAAGACAATGAGGGACAGACAGTATGACTATTTGACAATGTATAGGCTTATGTTTGCCACTTGCATTACAAATATGATTTTTTGAGTGTTGCTCTATGGTTGACAAGCATCTCGCTGTTCGTGTTGGCACAAATGTGCCACGCATTCTTAATTGGAAAGTCACTGAAACTCCAACATATGCGGATTTGACTGGCGGGGTGATCATGTCTAGTATCGACAAGGTAAATATTTTGTACCATAATACTTCTTCATATATGATTTCAGTTTTTCTGTAAGTATGTATATTTATGAATATGTCACAATTTCCTTTTTCTACTATTGTAATCCAGTTTTCTTTTTGTAGTTGAACTATAGGAACATTTCCCCTACTCGTGAAGAGATGTCAACTCTGAACATCGACATATTTGTTGAAGTTAATGCCGATGATGTTGCATTAGGGGAGGTGCCTTCCTTTCACACTGATGATTTTGTCGCTGCATCTCCACCTTGTCCTCAGAATATGGAGCAACAGTCTAAACGACCTTATCCTCAGAATACGGAGCAACAGTCTAAACGACCTTATCCTCAGAATACGGAGCAACAGTCTAAACGACCTTTTCCTCAGAATATGGATCAACAGCCTAACCCGAGTTATGATCCTTCGGTGCGTATTGATCTGTTGAATGCTGAAGTTGAGAAGTTGAGGAGTGCTATTGGAAAGGTACTGGAGCTTTAGCTTTTCTGTAGTTTATCGGTAGTTTTTGTATATACATGGTTTTTTGGTTATAAACTTGTTGATTTACTTTTGTTTTTTTTTTGTTGTAGTTGACTGATACAGTTACGGCACTCAACAATTATGTAGTTTCTTCCTTTGAAAAAGTGTTTAGTTTTCTGAATATGAAGGAAACCAAGCAAACGAGGGAGGATGTTACTGATTCTAAGGTAATTTTTTACTGATAAAAACAAATCACTCAACAGTTATGCCTTCTCTGAATCATCACTCAACAGTTATGCCTTCTATTTCTATTGTTTTTTATTATATTCGTCAGCGCGTGTCTGATGACAATACATCTTGTCTCGGCGAATTTGATGGCTATCAATATGATGTTGTTCCTGACTTTGTCGATTAAGTGAATCAAGATAACGCGCTAGCTAACGAGGGAGTTACTGATGGTGTTGATCATGGTATGCGTTCTGCATTTTATCTTTTTTTGTCTGATTTTCCTTTTCTTCATTTTGAAAGTTTTTATTATTGGTTTTCTTTGTCTAAGGGGCAGCAGGTAATGTCAAGGGTGACACATTTTGGGATGACACTGGCGATGAAGATTTAGTTGCGCTACAGATGTCCCAAATTGTGCTTCACAAACCATCCATCATAGACGTAGAAGATGATTACCTTTCCCCTGAACAGTCAGTTCGACAGAAAATACTAGGAAAATATGCCAAATCTCCATATTTACCAGTTTTGATTCGGGGGCATCAGGATCGGCACACAAGCTCATTTTTTATATCAAGCATCCTTTCACGATCGAAATTGATGATTTTGATCCATTGTCGCCATTGGCTAAAGAGTTTTGCGTGTTTGTTGATAATGGGATGGAATGTATCTTCACATTCTTTAATCTTTCATGTTCTGATTTTATACTTGTCAATGAAGGTAGTTCTGATTACTTTTTATTTTTTGTGAGTTAAAGTGCCAAAAATATATATACTGATGAAGTAAATAAGCTTGCGGAAGCTTTTACTTTTGGCTCGTGTCATGTGACCACGAAGGATTGGTTCCACTCACTTGCGTATTGTGGTCGACCTTTGATTGACACGGTATTTAATAACTATCAGTTCTAATGCCTTTTTTTATTTGTTACATATCTTTATTGTTTGAGACCACCATAGTGTATACATAGCTTTGTATAATCAAAGTATAAGATTGTATAACCTTGTATAAATATGTATACCTCTGTATAATAGTGTATAAATTTCTATATTTAAAAAATTTGGTAGTGATGGTTTCTATTTTATTTCTTGTCTCAGCACTTGGATGTCCTCTTCTATTATTTGAGGAAGAGGGGAAAATATAGGCCGAATGTTGCTATGCGGTTTACTACAACCGACTTTGCCTTTGATAACAAAATCAACTCCATGTATAAAGATTTCAAAGTGAATCAAGATCTTTCAGTGATTCCTGAAGGGCATGAGATAGAAGAGTACATTAGAGGATATTATTGTGATGCAAATGTATCGTGGCATACTATTGACCACGTCTTATTCCCTATCTATGTGAAGCGCGTAAGAGCAAAATTGGGCCATTGGGTTTTGGGGTTGTTTACATTCATAGATAGGTGCATCCACATCTATGACTCTAACTTGGAGCTATTAATGATAGACTTGCTTTAAATGCTGCATTACCTTATGCAATTCTGATACCTTACTTCTTGAAGAGTTCTGTTTTTTATGTCGAGAAGAAGGGCATTGATTGGAACAATGGTGCAGATACTGATAAATCCCATTCTGATGCTTTGCAGATTAATCTGGTTAATAATGTGCCCCAACAGATCAAATGGTAGGTTAATCTCAATTGTTTTACTATTTTACTATTAGTGTACCTATTTGAATTATATTTGTTTCTTTTTAATTACAGTGATTGTGGTGCATTTGTTGCTGGCTTTGTTGAGTATTTCATTCTTGGTAAGGAAATTCGAAAAGATAATTTTGACATTGAGACACTTCGCACTAGATGGGGATTTCTGTTGTGTGATTATGGAAGGAAAAAACAATAGTCCGGTGCAATTAGTGGTGATGAAATCACAGGAAGACTTTTCAGGAAGAGGGGACGACCGAGAAAGTAGTTTTGTTTTTTTCTATTTTACTGTAGTTTTGCTATGTATCAGGAGTTGTTGCCTAGTTTTGTCTAAGTATTATTCTGCTACTTGTGAGATAACCTTAAAGGATATTATAGATGTTTTTATTTTTATGTAATTTGTGGTAGTCATTACACATTGTGACTGTGAATGAATTACATTTTAATGAATATTTCAGTTGCTTTTGTCCTTTGACAAAGTATGTATTTTCATTATGATTGCAGTTTTGTTAATGTTGCAGGGTTTATACATATGTATACAATAATATACATAGTTATACAAACTTATACTCTCATTTATACATCTGTATACATATAACACCATTGATTATTTGCAGTTTTGTTTTATATTTGTACAATCTATCAATATATTTAGCACCATTAAAAACAACAAGACACTATTATTGGATAATCAAAACATGTATAATGAAACATATTTAACATAATTGCAATATATGGTGTAAATTATAATTCTTTCTTGACATTTCTAACTCAATTGCTTGTGAAACTTAACTACTCAACATTTGTAACTCTATTGTTTGTGAAACTTAACTACTCAACATGACAACAAATGTAATAGGAAGTGTTATATTTCCAACTATTTATTTTGGTCGATTCCTACATGTTTTTCTACTGTGACCGCCTTGTCCACACACAGAACATGAAAACGCCCTCTTAGACTCTTTCTCTGAAGCAGGTTTGAGTCTTTCCTTTCTTGGCCTTCCTGCATTCCTTCTCCCTTTAGGTGGTAGGACCACATCTTCCAGCACCTTTGTTGGAATTACTCATAAACTCTCATCTGGCATCTGATTCACTGGAAATTCATAAGTTCTAAGGAGGTTATCCTTCTTGTAGTAAAAAGAGCAATACTGGCCAGGTTTCAGCTGTTGGTTCTTCAAAACTGCCTAAGTATGCGGACATGGAAGTTTATCCATTTCAAATTTTCCGCAACTGCATGTTCCCTCTTCAAGGCACACTATGTTTCGCCTTACCCCTTCAAACACAGTATATAACTGCTCTGTAGCAGGCCTCACCTGCAAAAGTATTTTTTTTTAAAAAAAGTTAAAGAACATTATACATTATTATATAGAGTTATACATCCTTATACAAGCAAAAATGCAAGTCAGAAGTGCCAAGCATCATTATATTTGATTCATTTTACCATCATTTGCTCCGATGCATTCAGATTTTCCCGAAAGAGTTTGTCGTACTTTTCGCCAAGCTCTGTAGATGTCTTCATTGCACTTTTTCTGTTTTTGTTGTTCCACTGTTGTAGAAAATTTGTCATGTACTCCAGCAATCGCATTACCGGTAACCCTCTAGCATCCTTGTTTGTTGCAATAATTGACTCTGCAATATTGGAAGTTATTACCATCGACCTTTTCACTTTGGAGTATGCCCTAGACTATCTTTCGTAGGCAATTTCTAACAAGTAAGGTTGCACCTCGGATCAATTTTGCACATATCTATCATATGGTACTCAAATTCTTTATCGTGTAAGCTCTAGCCAAAGCAAAGAATATATCCTTCAATTGTTTGTGATGTTTCTTGAATGTGCGCTTTACATTCTGCCACAAGTGAAACATACAAATACAATGTGGTACTTCTGGGTACACAGCTTTTGTGGCATTGAAGATGCTTTCGTTTCTATCTGAAACTATACACATCCCTTCCCTAACACCAAAAGTATCATTTATCTGGACAAAGAACCACTCCCAAGATTTGTTATTCTCTGAATCTACAATTGCATATGCAAGTGGAAGGATTTTTCATGTTTATACAAAATAGGTATTAGGATTCAGACAATTATACAAATCTTATACACAGTTATACACAATTATACAACTTTATACCAACTGCAAATTTTATAAAAACAGCAATTGTGAAATCTTATACACTTTTATACATGAAACTACAATATTATACAAACTGCAGAAACAAGGAAAGCATCCATCTTCTGATTTGTGCAACTTTATAACCGTTCCTGGATTTGTATGCTCCAATATATAAAAAATACTTCGGCAACTCCTTATATGAATCACTCGGACTTCCTCTTATCATTGCCATTGCTATCTCTTTAGCTCTCCATGCTTTCATGTAGCTCACTTCAATCTCGTGTTGCTTTTGTATGTCCTCTATTATTTCATTTGCGGTGTAAACTATTTTTGGATTAACATACTTGTCCTTGACTATACTAGCAATTACACCCGAAGTAGCTTGACATTGTGTTAAGTATCTTTCACCATAGCCACATGTGTGATTATTATTGTAACTTCTCACTTTGAATATGTTTGCCTTGAAAATGACAGAAGATTTGAAACTCCAAGCACAATTGTCATCCACACATATAAGGTGATACCTAGGATTAAAGATCATTCAACTTCTAAATACACTTGTATACAAAAACATAACTAGATATATACTAATTTTAATACCTATATACAAATATATACTACTTTATACATATTTATACATATATATAATAGAATATACAACTATTGACATACCTTGTTGCGCTTGATCTCTTCACCTTGAATTGGAACCTCTCGCGTACAGCCAAGTTCTTCATCACATTCATAACAGTCTCTTTATCTTTATAAACTTGATCCTCCTCAACAAATTCGTTCAACATATTATCTATTATACTCGTGTTTTCACTAAATTTCGTGTTTTTTATCAATTCGATATCATGCATAATCTCGGTGCTATCAATTGTGGATACATATATAGAATTGGAACTTGTAGCAACTAAACAACTGGAACTTGTAGCAACCAAACGATTATCATAAATCTCTTTCACTGTCACAAACAAGGGATATTCAGTGAAATTCAAGTTTTTCTTCTTTAATTCGATATACACCTTAACACCTGTATCGTTGTAAATCAGGATCGGTGGGAAACCATCATTTGGGAGAAAGTTAATCTCTATTGTGTTTAACTCACTATCGATCCTAACCTGTTCCAAAATAGCTGCAACTAATTTGTTGTAGTTGAATGTCGACTCGATTATTACACAATCGCTAATGAAATTGATAAACTTGTTTTCTTCCCATTCACCACTATGAAGAACGTAAACTGGAAAAAGCTCCATCGAACAAAAAGTTGAAATCAAAATTGCTGCAAAAATGAAAATTGCGTTGATTTGCAGCAAAAAAAAATTCACTTTTCGTGTTTGATTTGCTATTAATTCGAGATGAAGAAGAATTTCTATGATTTTTGGAGCTGCATTGACCGCAAGATCTCATTTTTGTAGATTTGGGGAAGAAGAATGGAAAGAATGAGAGAAGATCCCGCTGAAAGATACAAAATCCCGCTTCTGACTCCCAAAAAACGAAAATAACGCCCCTTTTTTCGGATATGGGCCTCTTATTTTTGGGCTACTCAATTATAAATAGAATTTTTACCTATTTATACCATATATCAAACCTTATTACCTTCATTGTTTAAAAAATGTGTTAATTACATTTAAGCATACCAAATTACCATTTATATACCATAATTTAAATTAAGGGTATATTTATTCCTTCATTTATTGTAGGCGTGATTTTAGGACCGTATTTTCACGTTATTTCGTTTACCCGCCTCTCTCTCCTCCCCCCCCCCCCCCC